CCCCACAAGTGCTGGGAGCTGGGGTGGGCAGGGTAGCCATTGCTGGGCTGGGAAAGGGGTGGGGGATGGGCCCAGCCAGGCTGATTCGGAGATTCAAATCTCTGAATCGGATTCGGCTGAATCGAATCGGGACAGTGATTTGAATCACTGTCCCCCGAATTGGCTGAATCCAAATCCGAAGCGAATAGTAGCTGCTTTGCATAGGCCTACTCTTATCAGAAATCCTGACTGGGATTGCTCGTTCTGTGGCTCTCTTTGGTGCTTGTCTTAACATCAAGCTGGAGTTAAGACTGAATATTTGGATCAGAAATTTGAGATAAAAGCCATGCCAGTGCTCTCATGATTATTTCTATATTAGGCATTTACAAATCCAGGTGCTCAGCATTAGGGATATGCTTAAGAGAAATCCAAATGCCTTAAGGTAAGATGTGTAAGATGAAAGTATCAAAATCGCCCTAACTCTTCCCAGTAGTAATGTGATGGGAAGGGGAAAAGAATCTAATGGGTCTTTAAGCATCCTTAGGTGCATCTACCTACACAATTAAGTTGTAGCAATAAACTCTGGAATAGTTTGAACCAGAGTAAACTACTCCTGGACACGGTGTCTATACACATGCCCAGGACAGCAGCAATTTGAGCTGGGGCAGAGTAGTTTACACCAGGGCACAGAAGTTTAGCTCTGGGCTCCAGGTGCCAACATTGGGCAGCAGAGGGACTGGCTGGGGTACAAGGGTGCTGAAAGTTCAGAGTCATGTGGCTAGGCAACAGGCAGGAATTTGACCCTCTGCTGACGGCATGATTTATGCCCATGGTCAGCATCTACATATGTATTTAAATCACAATATATTACCTCAGCATAAGATAGTACTGTCACCAATAGTACCATCTTATAGTGGTGTTAGTTAATTTACTGTACCTAATAACATCACACATGTAGACAGCGACATTTTTACACTCCAACTAATTAGTCTACTCTGCAGTTAAGTGCACATGTAGATGTGACCAACTGAAGCTAGTCTAGGACTACAAGCATTCGGATACCTCCATCCTCCTTGCATGCCAGTTAGTGTCACTGCTTACATTTTCTGTAACCCATGCTGGAACGCTAGGCTGGGCAACATGCTGGATTCTGGGTCCTCAGGGTGCCAGTAGTGCTGGGAAACCCCCAGGCAGGTCAGCTGGCTAAGGTATGTCCCTCACCCTTGCCGCCCAAGAATTTGGTCCAGACCCAACAAACATGTTAGGTTCTTTATTATACAGCTATATACAGAAAAAAGTGATTAAATCAAAAGAAGATATTTTATATATCTATGCAATATCAAATTGTTAGTTTTATTATTAACTATTGAATTAAAATGTACAGCTGCAATATTGGGTGAATAATTCGAACACACTGGGTGGTCCCACTTGCATCTCACAACCTCAGTAATTGCAGTCAATTGGTGATAACCCTTTAAAACAGGATTTCCCTCTGGTTACAATCCCCTTCCCATAACAATAAATGGCAACACAGCTTTAACTCTGATCCATCACTAGATGGAGGAGGGGAGGCTTCTGCTGCTCTGGGGAAAGTGAACTCTGGTCCTTGTTGGTAATTCAGCAAAGAACAAGTCTCTGATCAGTCACTACAGGTAACAGGCTTCTTTTCTTTAGTTTCCTTCTGAAAAACAATATACACCTCCTGCGAACACTAGGTGTTGTGTACCCTCAGACACCCATGCAGGGTTTGGGATTCTTCCAGCTGGCTCCCTCTTTGGGCTGTCTCCCTCCCCCAGCACCTCCACATGCAGACAGGGGATTCCCACTGCAGGTCTTTGTTCCTTGCAGTACAAGCTTTTCCAGCTGAAACAGAGGACTTCCTTCCACAGGTCCCTGACCAGGCAGTATCTCCCAGCTAGCTTACCAGCCT